TAAGGTATTCACTTTGAATTCCTGTTTTTTTCTAAGCCTTTTACCTTGAAGGGCTGTTGAATTTTGTCAAATTCTTTCTCAGCATGTAGTGAGATGATCATGTGTTTTCTTTTCATTGAGTTTGTTTATATTGTGGATTACATTGATGGATTTCCAAATGTTTAACCATCCCTGCATTCCTGGTTTAAAGCCTACTTGATCGTGGTGGATTCATGTTTTGATGTGTTCTTGGATTCTGTTTGTGAGAATATTATTGAGTAATTTTGCATCAATATTCATAAGGAGATTGGTCTGAAATTCTCTTTCATTGTTGGGTCTTTGTATGGTTTATGTATGAGCATAATTGTGGCTTCATGTAATGAATTGGGTAGTGTTCCTTCCATTTCTATTTTGTGGAATAGTTTATAAGGAATTGGTATTAGGTATTCTTATAAGGTCTGACAGAACTCTGTACTAAAACCTTTTGGTTCTGGTCTTTTTTAAGTGGGTTAAACATTTGAGACACTTTAGCAGCAATTTAACATTACCCATATTATGGGGATTCCTTATAATTGTCAACAACAAGAGCCTGTGGAATGGGCCCATGGATCTTTAAAGAAATATCTTCATAAAATAAAGAGTGGTAGATATACCCAGGTACACCACAAATTTACTTTAATCTTACTGTTTTTTGTTTTTTGTTTAATTTGGATGCCAAGGAACTTTCTGCTGAGTGTCTATGATGCTCTACAACTAGGAAGCATTATTCATGGGTGAAAGAGAAGGATCTACTTACTGGAATAAGGCATGCTCCTGATCTGGTATTAAATATGGAGAAATACGTTTGTGTTTTTTTTCTGCAGGATGATGAAGGAGCATAGTGGCTGCCAGAGTGATGGGTAAGACAAGCAGATGCCAGGACAAAGAATCATGCTCACCTGTGAGCTTGCTGAGTTCCCTGACAATAGTGACTGTGAAGCTCTATTGGAAATAAGTTCCTGACCCGCCATTGTTTACATATATACCTGATGGGAAAAGCTGCCTTGCCTCAAGTTCTTAGATCTTCTGGAACAGAGAAAAAATAAGAGAAGTCATAATGCGTCTTGTATTTTTCTTAAATGTGACCAGTTATTCAGACTCAACCACGTACTGGTCTAGAAGTCTTTATTTGGATGTCTGGTTCTGGACATTTTCAGAGACATATATGGAAATTAGCTGCAGTTCTCTCTGATGTTATGTTAGCAAGAGATATACTTGGTGCAGGATCTGGTTTTCAAACAGGTGTTAGCATATATGTTAAGGCTCTTTTAATTATCAAGTTAAAAATACTTTTGCTTCTTCTACAGTATTTAATGCAAGTTGCACTGATTGTACACCTTCTAATTGTATTTGTGAATTGAAATCTGGCATGTCAGTTATGGAGGTCTATCATTCACATTTTGTTTTAGTGCCCTGAGTATAACAGAACCTTGGCATTCTGAAAATAGCTTGCAAGTATTGGAAGAAATTTGTCAGGCTTTAAGCAGAAGCTAGAGGGGAGTAGGCTTGATTATTGCTGGTATAACAGCTTTAATTACATTCATTTCTACCACTACTGTTTTTGCAGTTGCTGTGGCACAAGAAGTTAAGACACCTACTTTTGCTAGTCATTTGGCCAAAGATGTTACTAATGAGTTGAATATACCAGTAGATTTAGATAGGCATTTAGGAGAACAGTTTGATGCTCTTTATCCTATTGAAATTATTGGAAGGAAGTTCAGAATTTGTGGATAAGGAGCCATCTTGAGTGTCATGTGAAATACCATTGGATTCACGTTAGTTCTAAAATTTACAGTGGTAGTCATTATAATTAGAAATAAGTTAATTATAAATGCAGTATATTTGGAATAATTCTAAGACCTCTCTGGATTTTTTAATGATACATACAGAGTTTATAAATTTCAAGAATGTTGCTCTGCTGAACATTGATATGGTAGATAGTGCAGATAAAATTATTCATGGACTGAGGTCAATATTCCTATTTTTGTCAAGCTATAATAATGGCATATATAGTTTGACCATGCTAACCCTTTTCATCCTGGGAATATTTTATCCCTGCCCATTGTGTTAAGGATTTTCTTCAACAACATCAACATGTTGGCAGCCAAGTACATGGTTTGAACCTGAAAATGTACCCCCAGACAGAGTTATTGGATTAACAGGCTGCCAAGCCAAGGACAGGCAAGTTTCTGCCCACAGCCTTACCAACCTAAGTTAGAAGTGAATTGCTTTTGATAATGCATATTCCATGATGAGTAAGGAATCCATTCTTGTCAGAATGACCTAAGACAGGGTCAGTCTTCTTAATGAAATAAAAAGGGTGGAAGGGAGAAAGCCTTTGGGGCTGCTTGGCAATAATCTGACATGGGCCAAGGACAAGGAAATGGGTTGATTACAGGAATATGACATTGGCCAAGGACAAGGAAGTAGGCTTCAGGCAGTAATCTGACATTAGGCTAGAACAAAGAAGGAATTTCAGGTAGGAATCTAAATCTTAGGGTAGAATAAATAAGTAATTTCAGGCAAAAATCTAAATTTTAGACTAGTACAAGGAAGTCTTCTGATGATACAAGTGAAAATAATTAATGGCTCAAGTACTGTGTCCAGGAAACATTCACTGTGAAGTAATCAAGGCTGAGGTTTGTCAGAAGGCATTTCCTACACATGTCTTGATTGTGTTGTTGCCTTTATAAAATTCTTGTTAACCAAATTGTGGCTGATTGAGAGTGATCATCTCTCTAGTATGCACTTACTTCAGTGTCTAAATATGGAATTACAATGCCTACAATTGCATGTCAAATATTACTGCTTGGAAGTTAAAACTAGATTCATCTCATCTACTTGAATGATTGAGTCTCCCAGGTAATGTTGACAAAGCAGGTCTCCAGAGACAAAAAAGGTATTTTACTTGTATCTTGAGAAGAAAAAAAATTTAGAGGATACAGGAAAATATGTCTAGTTTATGTCTCCTGGCTAAGGCAACTCTCCCACTTAGTACAGCTTTTTAACATTTTATAATTTAGGGAATTAGGTTATCTAATGATAAGCAATGAAAATGGTTTTAGAATTAATCTTTGATTTGCTCATACTTTTTAAGAATCAAGAAATGGAACCAATCTGATATAGGAATTGAGAAAACAAATATTATCTATATATATTTTTTCTTTCAAAATTGTTTCCAGATGTATCCATTTCATCATCCCCTATTATGAAGTACTGCTACAAGTGGGTAAGGACGTTGGTGTCCCCCATCAGTGACTTGGTTTCCAGAGGTACATGGCATGCTAGCTATGTGCTACACTAGAATAAGAAAAATAATCCCCAAGAATAAAAGTTTTCTTCAAATGCAAAAAAAGTTTGCTACATAAAATATCTATGATAATTAAACTACAAAAGACTTATTAAGTCTGATCAATATTTTCACAGAACTATATTATAATTACTGTTCTTATGCATGTATGTATGTATGCATGTATGTATGAATGAATATATGCATGCATGGATTATTCCTATCATCTAAGCTACATTGCAAATAGTGTATTATTTGAAAGAGATTTAATCCAAGTATGTTTTCATCCTAGGAGAATCTTGCTGGAAAGCAGAAACAATTTTCTTCATGGAATTTTGTCTTAACTTCTATTCCATCTGCTCTGATGTGTCTCTACTAAAGCTTTAGCTTGTCAGTTTCCTTATCCCTTTGCTATTAGCAGGGCTTCTTCATTCCTTTAGGTATTTAATAACAGACTTTTTTGTTGCTATACTGTTTTTTCTCTTCCAAATTCTGATTCATTTTAGAAATTCTAGGAACAGACCACTTCTTTTAGGTGAGACCTTCAGTTCTAGTGTAGAGAAATATGTCACCACAGAGTCTGGGCTGCAGGAATCTGAGGGCATATGGCAACAGCAGTCTATGCTTAAAGAGGACTTGACCTTTAGTGACTAGATACCAGTTTTCTCGTGGTGAGTAGAGACATATCATTATGCCTAAATCTGATTCAAAATTTCCTACTTTGAGGATACTAAGAGTATTGGATTAAATTCAACCTAGTAATTACTTTGATTTCATTTTACCTATAAAACCTCCTGATATCCTTATATTCTTAGTATCCAAATAACACACAGTGGAGAGGAGGAATGAAGGTAAAGGCTGAATCATTTAAATTATGGGTAAAGAAAATTATACCCACAACTCTTTACTTCTTTCATTTAAACCAATGCTTTTAGTCATTGTTAAATATCTGATTCTTGAAAACTTCCTTCTTCTACTCTGAGTTCCATCTCACCTATCATTACCTTATCAGGTCTGGGAAAGGCTCAAAATCTGATTCATGCTAGCAAAATCACCGCTTAACTGCACAGCTATGAAACCACACACACAATCTGCTCCCAGCATAGAGGAGTGGCACAGAAATAAAGAGGATTGAAATTCCCCTTCTAGGAGAGACAATTCAGAATGAAGAGAAAGATCATGAACCTAAAGTAAACTTAGGTTGACAAATACCATCAGATTTTGACACTATAGAATTTTTGTAGTCCTTTTCGGGTTTACTTTTGGCCTATTCTGGGGCAGCAATCTTGATCTTTACAACATTTTTCCAGATGTTAATGTAATTTTTGTGCTTCTGTGGTTATCATCTCAGATATATATTTGGCCTACTGCATTAAACTTCATATATTTTGGAATTGAGGATTTTGATACAGGGAACTTAACAATGTCTCTCAGAAATATGACCTTTTCCCCATTTTTCATTGAAGTTATTTGACATAACCATGTCCAATCTCAAGATTGTCTCCCAGAATAAATCAACTTTTCACAGTGAAAAATCCTACATATTTTCCATAGACCATTACTTTCTAGAGTCTGTGAGAAGCTATTACTGATGAGCAGTGACTACCAGTACATTCCAATTACTTAGAAATTCATTGGCACAAAGAGTCCTTAACATGTTCTGACATTTTATGAAGCTAGACAATTCCTTTACCTTTTCTCATGAGGTTCATACCATTAGGAATCACATCTTTGCCGATGATACTAAAATTGGTCATGTTGTTTTCTTTCATGACATGGAAGGAGCTGTACTTGAGGACTAGATCCAGCTCATCAGGCTCTAATTTTTTCCCTAGAAAGTCACAGATCTTCTTTATGGTTCCCTTTGTATCCTAAACAAAGAAGAAACAAAAATAAGGGCAATAAACAGAGAGCCCTGAGAGAACCGATGCAAAGAATGGATCTGTGGGGCTGGAGAGAGTTTAAGAGCCCTGACTGCTCTTCCAGAAGACATGGTGGATCACAAACATTTGTAATATGATCTGATGCCCTCTTCTGGTGTGTCTGAAGACAGCAACAGTGTATTCACATACATTAACTAAATTAATCTTCAAAAAAAAAAAAAGAGAAGGGATCTGTGGATGGGTGATAAGAAAAGGGATGTGAAGAAAGACCATCAGTAGATGAAATAGTGTGAATGGAGTTTATTCAAAAAAGGGCAATGGAACAAAGGCAAGAAGGACTCACAGACAACATTTATATACTTAGAGGGCTTGCAATATGGCTGATCTTTATTTCCTAAAAAGAAGCAGAGCCTGGGGCTTCTTTTTAGGTAGAAGAAAACATTACAGATAGTGGCTCCTAGAACCAACGGTAAATTTAAACTTACTTTGTAATGACCTTGAACTTCAGACCCTCCTTCCCAATTCTCTCTAGTGCTGTGGTCACAGGTATGTGCCAACACAGTCACTAAGTATACTCAGAATTCTTTTCTTAAGACCAAACCACAAGTGCTTTCAGGGTCTAAACTGAGATAACATAGGGACTGACCAATGTTTCCAGGGTATGTAGGGGTGGATGACCTTGTCAGCCAAAAGCAGGAGAGGAAGTCCTGGCTCCCATGATGGTTGGATGCCCCAGTGTGTGGGAATTCTAGGTAAGGATGATGGGAGTGAGTGGGTGGGTGGGGCACATCATGATAGAAACAAGAGTAGGGGAGATGGGATGGGGGGCTTTTCGGTTGGGGTAGAAATGGTGAAAGGACATAATATCTGAAATGAAAATAAAATATTCAATGGGTGAAAAAAAGGACTGGCTCTCATTCTGGAGTTTTGGATTGTACAATGGATATTTCTATGGAGAACAATATATCTCAAGCTCACAGAGATCAGCGATTCATCTATCTGGCTTTTTCTTTCCATGTGCCAGCACTGAAAGTATGTACAATCATACATATCCTGCCCTGGGACACTTAAAGTAACTTATAGAAATGGTGCTAGACAATGATCAAGGCAAATGAAGGAATGTGCACAAAGACCTCAAATAGATTATTGTTTATGCTAGATAATACACTTTGCTTAAGCTAACTGAAAACAATACAGCTTTACAAGAGTTTTATAATAATTATCTCAATATTTATTACTTGGAGAACTTCTCAGAGACATTGTTTTGAGTAAGCATCTCAGGTTACAGCAGAGATGGGAATCAAAATCACAATTTATTTTTGGTCTCAGACCTCTAATTGTTGCAAGAATATCTGTGTACTACAACAATTAGTTTAATCCTAGGAGAAAGTAATCACCAGGCAAAATCTTAGAACACCAAAAATTGTGATTTAAATAAAAGCCCTCTCCCTGGACTCATGAGGGTTTTTTGGTTTGAAACATTTTTTACATATTTATCACATTTACACCTAATATTTCATAGGAAAGTAAACAAATATGTCAATAATTGACAATCATGTGTTAAATTGTCAGAAAGGTGCCTTATGGGAATCTGCACTAGTGTGCAGCAGACAGATAGGCAGCAATCCTTCCTAGGGAAAATTGAATTTCAGGAAGATTAAATAAAAGAGTCAACATATAGAAAAAATAATGTGATGAAAGTTTTGTCTTTACATGTAAACTTTTGCTTCCTGAGAGATAACACTAAGAGGTCAAATCATCTTTTTTGTTTTCTTTGATTGTGCTTAATTTTTTTATTAACAGTTATTTTTCTCAATCCCTTTATGGAAGCAGGTATGCTGACAACAGACCTTTCACCTTTCCCCTGCTTTTCCAGATCCTATGCCGAAGTCATCTTTAGTTCTGCAGCAGAAATCTTAATGCAGCACTTCTCTTCTCTAGTGGGTCCAAAGGTCTTTCCCTTCTAATATTGCTCCCTCAACTCATTGCATTATCCCAGCCTCCAAGTTCAGCACTCACTGGGAACTCACTGACCACTCTGGCCAGGAAAACAGATAGGCTATCTGCAGATTGATCTTCACATTTCCTAGAATATCTCCAACTCCAACTACCCAGTCTCATTCTTATTTCTGCAAAAGAACTCGAAACTTTGGGAAGTGAATAGCTTTGCCCCAGCCTCTGACTCCAGAATGCACTCCTGAGGAAGCCAACGCCTGTTATTACAAGGGAAGCAACTAAATTACACTGTCAGATTTCAACTATTTGACCATTCTTCAAATTCAATACCTGAGTCTCATCCAAACTGCTTTATCAAACCTTCTGCTTTAGCCTTTCCTCATTATATGTCCCCATTCCAAGGAGATTGACTATGCAGATCCTGGTGAAACACCCTGCTTTCTTCCCTCTTGTGAAATCCCTCTATTGAGCCCAACCCATCTCTATTTCTACCTCCCTTATTCCATAACCAATAAACACATCTTATCTGGTAACCTAATGTAGTTTCTACAGGCTACATAAAGCCAGCTCATTCTCCTGATAACCAAAATAAAACAAATCCAGGGCACAAAACTCCACCCAATAAAGACAATATCAGATTTCAGCACCTAGAATTATTGTATTCCTAATCTAAGATGCCTAAATGCCAGTGTAAAAACATAATCAATAACAACCAGGACAATATATCTCTACTAGAGCGTAGCAATCATAACACAGCATGCCCTGAATATTTCACCATATCTGAGGCACAAGGGAAAAATCCTTAAATCAGCTTTTATGAATATAATAGTGGTCTTTTAGTAGGAAATGAATATATCCCTTAAAGAAATCTATGAAACCACAAAGAAACAGTGGAAAGAAATAAATTCAACTAATTTCCACCTGAGTAGAAATAGAATCAATACCAAAAACACAAAATGAGAAAATCTCAAATTGAAAATTCCACGAACTCAAACAAGTAACTCAGAGGCATTCTTCAACAAAAGTAGATGGATAGAATGGAGACCTTTTTGTATTGCAGACACAGTAAAAGAAATAAATACAATAAAGGAAGTATTACATATTTCAAACTCCTGGCACATAATATCCAGAAAATTTGGGTCACTATTTTGAAAACACCAGATGTATGAATAATAGAGATAGAAGAATAAAAAGAAACTCACATCAAAGGCACAGAAAATATTTTCAACAAAATTATAAAAAAATACTAACCTAAAGAAAGAGATGCCTCTCAAAGTTCATGAAGAATACAGAACATCAAGTTGATTGGACTAGAAAAGAAAGACCTCTGAGCACATAGTAATCGAAACATTAAATGTACACAACAAATTATGAACAGATGTGCAAGAGCTAGGATGAGGGAAACAGTTGGGAGTGGGGAAGGGGCAGGCAGTTGTAGAAGGGAGTACAGGGAAATACAGGTAAAATTAAGTAATATTTGAGAGGTATTATTGAACTCTAGTACAGTGGAAACTTCCTAAATCTATAAGAATGTGAAAGTGATCAGAGTGAAATCACCAGATTATGGACATCTTTTGTCACAAAGGTGGAAAGAATGAATTAAATAAAGAAGTAAAGAAATAAAGAAATAAAGAAAAAAGAAAAAAGAAGGAAGGGAGGAAGGGAGGAAGGAAGGAAGGAAGGAAGGAAGGAAGGAAGGAAGGAAGGGAAGAGAAGAGAGAGAGAGAGAGAGAGAGAGAGAGAGAGAGAGAGAGAGAGAGA